ACCAAGAAAAACAAATATCTCCATAAAAACTTAAAAGGTTATACTCTATATTAAAAAAAATTAATAAGCTGGAGTATTTCATACAGGAGTGAAATCACAAAATGTCTGCAATCTTCACTGTTAGACCTCCATACAAGAGAGAATATGCTTTACTTTGTAGTCCCCAATATAAAATGGATTTTAAGAAAACTTTAAGACAACCAAAGACAGGTAACCACAAAAACAAGGTGAAAAGATAGCAAACAAAAGACAGCTTGTGTGCATCCATACAGGGAGGTCCACTGGAAACTGTCTCAGGGATTTACTTTAGGTCTCATTATTAGGATTGGCAGAGAAATGCAAATAAGCAAGTACCAAGCAATGAAGGCAAGAAGCCTAAATTTAAAAGCTGTGAGAACTCAATGTTCACAAAAAACATCAACCACACTCCATTTTATGTATATGATCATTCCATATAATGTAAGTGCCCTAACCCGAACTGAATTGTGAGCAGGTATCACTTTAGTGATCATCCTCAATCAACACCAAATAACAAATGAGGGGCTTTTGCTTTTGAAAATTCCATATATTGAGCTGAATACTTTTGTCTGAATTTAAACCATGAATTATAAACAAAGTATTCAGGTCCTTAACAGTCTGTCTAGTGTTCAATTGCCTCCTACTGTGGTTACACTTATACACACACACACACCCCAACAATCCTCAATTATGCCACTTCCATGCTGGTAAAACTTCAATGGCTCCCTAAAGTCTTTCCAAACACATTTCCAATATGATTCAAGAACCACAATACAGCCCCACTCCAGCTCTTAAGCTTCATTTCTTATTTGTATCACATTTCACAAATACCCCATCCTTCTAACCAATCTGGGAATTTTTTTTTTTTTTTTAACCAAGGACAGCCTGCATTTTGCCATTACCTACCTTCTTCTATTTTTGAGATCCCCTCCAAATTTACTGACAAAATAGAACAGATTAATTTCATCGCCCCACCATTCCCCACTCAACTATATAGCTTTCCCTCCTCTGACTCTCCAGGTTTTAAACTGTAAATCACATATAAAAAGAATTATATGAAGAATTATATCACAATTAACATCCATATAATGCTCTACCTTTTACAAAGTGCTTTCTTATCTCCCATACCAACTAACAACCTCCTTAACGACAGCTGCTCTATTAGTTATAAAAATCCCTACAGCATCTCTATTTTCTGAAGCAGAATATTGTCACTGAATTAGAATATTTCAGTCTCTGTCTCTTAATATTTAAAAAATCCTTCAGTTATACTCCCATCTTAAAAAAGAACCAAAAAAGAAGAGGGGGAAGGGTTCAGTTTAAAGATACAATTATTTCATAAGGAATATATTTTATTCTCTCATGAAAAATAAAGGTTTCCCCTAAATTAAACACCCATACATAATCTCTGAAGCTCCTTAATGTCCCTGAAAAAACGTGGTACTGAACTGGCAATCTTTAAATTCTGTCCAACTAAAGCTCTATTTATAGCTGTAAAATGTACTTCACCATATTATGCATCTATGGATATCCGACAATACAGGTTCATAAAAGGCTGAAACAGACAACTCTAGTATCAAAAATCCAGCGTCTCACAATGCCAGACATACTAGTTTTTGGCTTTTCCATCTTCACAGGCCTCTTTCCTATCTTCTGGTCTGTGACAATAGAGAATGAAGGTATTTGTATTGTGAGAACTTCAATCTGTCTACATTTTACCATAAGTGGAAGCTGTTTTTAGTATACAGTTTCATCTTGTTAGAACTGTAGAAAGATCTTAAGTTTGAGAACAGTAAGACACCAATATATATTTGTTAAATAAAGTCTTAAGACTCCCAAGTGTGGAAGTAAAATTATGTGTTTTGGGTTGACCTGAACGCTTCCTCTTATTTGTTGAACTAATCATGAACCATGAGAAAAGTCCTATATACACTTAATTTTTAAACAAATCATTCTGATCTCTATCTTGACAGGTATACTTAGCAGATTACTTTCCAAAATAAAGTCAAGAAAAGGAGAGACTGGTCAGTGGCAGTAAGACCACTCATTTGCCTAATCATTCTTAAATGTTAAAGAAGAATACAGTAAATGAACCCTATAAGCCACAGCTATGAAAATGCTTTCTGCTAAGATGTATGCTTTTAGCAAAGGTGGGCTTGCTCTGTTGCCACATGACACAAGTCTACTCAGCCACCTGGAACACTTCCTGTCAACACGTATGAAGTATCATATGTGGCCATCACTAACTCAACAGTCAGTTTCCAGACTGACAAACACTGAAAAGAAACCAACCAAAAGTCGCCTTTTTAAAATCCTGCTTTTTAAGAAGCCTAAATTAAGGGAAAGAGAACAAAAAAAATCAGGAGGACTGGCACAGAAAGGCAAATAATTTTTTTAAACCAAAATGATTCTGATGAACCATAAGGAATCTGCTTGCATTTGAAGGTGCTGAGAGAGACAAACCCCCATTTAAACAAGCGGGAAATTGAGCTCCATTCTCTTCAGTTAACTGGAGTCTGTCACCTTTTTAAAGTGAAGAGGGAACAGACTAACAACAACCCCAAATTTAACTCATGAAAATCTATGACTTGGCAAACACCTGAGGGTTTTTTTCTTTTTTGGGGTTTTTTTTTTTTTTTTTTGGCTATTTAACGAAACAACTAGGCAATCGTGCAAAGAAATCAAGTTTTGCTATGGTATATTGTCAGTACTTTTCTGTTCTCGCCTCTGAAAAAGTCAAGTATTTCCAACATCCTAATCAACTCATGGGCTCTCAAGGTGTATCAGAGGTTAAAAAAAAAAAAAAAAAGATCCATCCGCCAATACAGGAGACATGGGTTTGTTCCCTGTGTCGGGAAGATCCCTTGGAAAAGGAAATGGCAACCCACCCCAGTATTCTTGCCTGGGAAATCCAATGGACAGAATAACCTGGCATGGATACAGTCCCCGGGTCGCAAAGGAGTGGGGAACTAAACAAGAATCAACTGTTACCTAGGCAGTAAGTTCTGAGACTTTGTAACAGAGCACAGTTTCAAAGAATACATGGCCTACCCAACATACAGCCAAGAAATAAAGTATTTATAAGAAGAAAATATGAATAAAATTAATAACCCATGTACATATTCCATAACTATATAAGCCACCCTGCTTCATACCAGTCAAATGAAGCCAGGTGATCTCAACCCATAGCTTTAACTATGCTACTGCATTTATTCAGAGCCACAAGCTACAATTTATTCTTTTCCAGAAACTCTAGGGCTATTTGTAAAGGGCACTTTATTTAGTCCTCTAAAGGGATACTATGTTCATTCTTTTACATATGCTGACCACAGTACTGAAAAATAATGGAAAATCTGTCAAAGACCTCTCAAATGTCAAATCATGCTCATTTATCATGTAGTTAATAGGTGAAAAAAAATTAAATTTACACGTTACAACACGCATATAAAACAACTAAGAATGTCAATTACTGATTTAAAAAAAAAAAAAAACTAGTTAACTGATTTTATGTGAAGCATGCACAAACCCTAAGTGGCAAAGGAAGAGTAAAACTACGCTTTCCAAACTTGTTTAACTATTTAACATCTCAATTCTAGGTTCAAGTATTAACTTCTAAAGTCACCTGTTCTCAACAGACACAGGATTTGGAAAGGCATATTAAGCAGAATAAGATGTGTACCACTCATTAACCAAAAGATTATTTTTATTTTTCTATTAAGTCTTAAGTGCTACATTCTAACATCTTACTCATTTCCAAACACTGCTGGAATTACACTTACCACTAAGAAGCAAAAGTCATCCAACAACCTGTGTGTCTAACATTTATCTGCCTAGTTCCTGGGTAATCATAATACACGTGTGCTTCAAAGTATGAGAGCACAATGAATCAACTAATCCTAAAATATTACATACGTTTAGGGAGTTCTTCCAGGCACTGGGCGAAGTTCCAATAGTCTATTACAAGCACTTATTCAGTAAGAGAGGTAAGAATAAATCAGTCCTAAATAAGGTACAAATGCCCCATGATTAATCAGAAAGACATGAAAATTAATTATTTTTCTTTAAAGGCAATGCTCCTCAAGGAGTTCCCTCGTGGCCTAGTGGTGAGGATTCCCGGCTTTCACTACCTCAGGCCCAGGTTCGATGCCTAGTAGAGCAGCTGGGATCCTGCAACCAGCGTGGGGAGGCCAAAAAAAAAAAAAGGGAAAAAAAAACAAAAAACAGTCGATTTTCCAAATATTCACTTCCAACTAGGCCCCAAACGTTTATGAAAACAAAACAAATTCTCTACTCCTGTAAACGAGTGTCCGCTCAAGTGTCCAGGTATGAATGCTCTCCGCCCAAATAACTACCCCTGCACTTCACTCTTCAGTACCAGGGTCGGTCGGTCCCCATTAACACAGTCACAATCTCGTCTCACGCTCCACAACTACCCTGTTTGTCAAAGTAAAGACTCGGGAGTGTTGGGTTGTGTGTTTTAAGATTAACACGTGGGGGGGGGGGGGGGTCACAATAGAGATCGCTGTTAAGGAAAAATCTTTCACGTGGGGGCTGAGCGGGTGAGGGATCAGTAAAGTTAATGGATAAACAGAGAGGATCCAATACTCTCAGGATCCCTCAAACTCAACGCCCAACTTGAGGGGAAGGTGGTAAGTCAACTCACCCCCACAACCTGGTCCCCGTTCCTTCACCCTCCTGAACCCAATTCCTAGGCCAGTGCCTTCTCCCGGGGCTCCGGGTTCTCGACTCCAGCCCCCGGACTGAAGTGCAGGCATTTAGGCCTCGCCTCCCAGCGGCCTTCCTCCCCCGACCAGGGCGGGAGGGGACCCAGGAAGCCGCGCCCGGTTTTCGGTGCGGGGGGGGGGGGGGCGGGGGGGGGTGGAGAGCCTAGGCCGCGCCTCCCACCCCGGCGGTCCTAGGCCTCGGCCCGCCCGAGGCGGGGCCCGGGGTCGCGGCGGCGGGCTGGGCGCCGGCTCACCTACCTGGGTTGCCAGTCATTCCAGCTCCGCGGGTATTTGGTGCCGCCGCCGCCGCTGCTCAGCCGAGACCCCGGGGCTCTGCGGCTCATTACCTTCCCCGACACGACATGGCCAAGCGCCGCCGCCCGAAGAAGCGCGAGTCGCCGCCCAAACCGGCCGCCGCCGACACTCCGCTCCGGCCCGGGGCTGAGGAGGAAGCCGAGCAGCAGCAGGAGGAGGAGGCGGCGGAGGGCGGGGGAGGCGGACGGCCGTTCCGGGTTCCGCCTGAGCCCGCAGCGCAGGACGAGGAGGCGGGAGTGCCGCGGCGCGAGGGAGGCGGAGGAAGGGGAGGCGACTTCTCTTCCAGGGCCGTCCGCGGCCCGCGACGCCCGGGCCCAGGAGGAGGAGGAGGACAGTGAGGAGGAGGCGGTGGCGACGGCGCCCCACGCTCACACAGCCACGGCTTCCCCGCCTCCCGGCTCCGCCCGCCGCGCCGCCGCTGCCGCACGGCATCCTGGGAAAGAGGGGTGGTGCCGGCGCCCGCCGGTCCAGGGAAGGGGCGTGGCCAGATCAGAAGGGCGGGGCCTGGGCGGGGCCGGCGGGGCCGGCGCGGCGAGACGACTGTCCTTCGGCTGCCTGCGCTAGTCGCTGCTCTCCGCGGACCGCGCCGAAGTCCAGCTCCGCCGCGGGGGATCACGGGAGAGAGGATCTCCGCCACCACCCCCACACGCACACCCTTCCACTTGCGCCCGGGAAAGCACCTGACCCCCTGAGGGCCGGACAGTCAGGTGTAAACCGGCAACCAGTCTAGAGCCTGCGGTGCCCTTGAGGGGGTGGGCGGAGCGAGGGGGCGCGCGTGCATACATACACACACGTGCCTTGAGGGTTCACGTGTGTCCACATTCCTCACCTTCTACTGTAAAAAGTGGAAATTTTTAAAAAGCGGATTGACCTCCATCTACCCTGCCTCTACCTGAAATGTGCCCATAGAGTTCTGACACCTTGACCGTTTCTTCTCATTGCAAAAAAAAAAAAAGTAGAAAAAGCTAATTACTGACAAGCACCAACCCCGATCCCCAGAAACGTGAAATATGCTCTGTCTTCTCACGGTAACGCTTGCCCCCTTTCCCCAACAAAAAGAGACTAGAGAGTGGGGGTGGGGGGGAGGACAGCCTAAGCACTCTCTCCCCCATCGCGACAGTCGTCCGAAAGTCTTCAGTAAATCATTTGATACATAATGCGAATGCCATGTACAATAAAATTTCAGCAAAGTGCACATCAGACAGGTAACAGGAGTTAAATTTGGAGGTTATTCAAATGGATCTTACCTCTGTCTGCACAGAGGGTCTTAACCTATTTTATGTTGCAAGAGAAAAGCGTATATATTGCTTGTGTGATCAAAAATGGTTACCAAACATACTTGAGATTATGAGATATTACTCATCCTCTTTCAACCTTCCGCTCCTTCTTTATGCCCACCAACCTCTCAAAAAGTTATGATCATGCCAGTTGTAGAGGATGGAAAGTTAGATTTTCAAATGCACTTTCTCGCCCCCGCCCCCGCCCCACTTCACCCATCCAGGAAAAAAGAAACTCCTCTGAACTGGGGCTGTTTGACTCAACCCAGAAATTCCCACTAGGTCAGACCTAAGTATGGTCACCCACATGCGTAAAAAAAATTTTTTTTTAATAAAAAACCTGTGTGAAAAGGAATACATCTGGAAATTTGCCCTGGGTTCCCCCATACTTGCTTGAGGAAGGATCCCACTGTTGTAAAAGGGGCCCTACTCAATCCCTGTCCTCAAGGAATTCTGGAAGTAGGGGTCCAGAGAGATAATCTATTCAATATTATATTAGAAATAGCTAAAATTGCTGTGTTTGTTCAATCTTTCCTCTCTCTACCATCCTGCAAGCCTGTCTCACAATCTGACTAAAAAAGCCCCCTCACCCAAAGCCTTTTCTTAATTCTAAATTTTGAGGATTCCTTGTACCTGTTTTCCTCAGATTGTTTTCTTTTTGTGCTCCAGGTGAGTTCCCACTCTCCTCCTCTCTGGGACTCTCAGACCCCTGAGTAAATGGCTGATGTAGCCAATTAATCATGTTGATTTCCTTCAACAGTTGATTGCAACAGTGGTGCAGTGACCAAATTATGTCAGTTGTTCAAATTCCAAAATGATTTCCAAAAGACTAATCAGTACCTTAGAACCCTGAGAAAATTTCAGCAGTCCTCTAACCTTTTCAAATTACAGAACACCAGCAGAGTAATTCAAGGAAGGGCTCTGGGATCAAATTCCAACTCTGTGTAAAAGCTGGGGGGGGAGGGGGGCGGTGTGGAGGCTGAGTGCCCCAGGTTCTCATCTGTAAACTATAGATGATAATATTAGCACTGACCTCTTCAGGATGTTGAGAGGGTTAATAGCGATCTTGCGTGTAAAGTGCTTTTCACAGTGCCTGCCACTTGGTAAGCAATCGAAAAATGTTAGCTAAAAATCAGATCCTCCACTTCTCTGAAGCACATGGGCTATTTAGATAATATATGACCAGTGAAGAATGAGAAAAAAAAAAAAGTAGCTGGCAGGGGTTGTGCCCAGTTGCTCAAACAATTGCTTTTTATTTATCATTTTTTCCCCTACTGTTTACATAGAAATGATTAACCCTCAAAAACAGTGTTGATATAGAGGAGATGTAAGGAAGCAGAAGGTGAATGGGTATCGTTAGCAGCAACTTCCTGGAAAGCAATTTAAGTGTGTGTATCCAAAGACTTAAAATGAATTCCCTTTCCTCCTAGGAGATTCCTCTCCTAGGACTCTATCCTAAGAAGATATGCGACACTGCAAAGTTATTTTCTTCAAATAAAGATCAGATCATGTGACCATCCGGGTTAAAACACATCAATGGCTTCCCATTCTCTAGATAAAATCTAGACTCATCATTACTAAGAGCCTGTAAAAACTGGCTTATCCTGCATTGCAAACATCCCAGGGCTGCTCATACCTGTGAACAGGATCCTAATAATGGTTCTAAATTTCTTCTTCATAGTAAAATCCTCTCACCTAGGCTGTACCCCACTTTAAAAAAAATCAGAATCTCTAAATGTAGACTCAGGCATTAATATTTTTAAGACTTCCCCAGAGGATTCTACTATGCACACGAGACTGAGAAACACCATTTTTGAGCACCTAAGAACTGAAAACCCTATTTGGGACTCCACCCTCCACCCTTACCTCCCAATATATGTTGATATAAAAATTCTAAACCACTGGGAAAGAAAGACTTAAAAGCTCAGTTCTCCCGTGATGACTATTTGGATAATTAAAAATACATATACAGCAAATAGGATCAATGTTCAAAACTTTCCAAAATTTTTTCTCACTTCTTTTGGTGGTTCGGCTTCTCTGGTTCCATTAGGACTTTTTCATTCCACTCCAAACACAGAGACAATTTCTGTTCCTGAAACACACTGAGCCTCTCCAGTCCCAGAGTTGTTTTTTTGTTTTGTTTTGTTTTGTTTTTTTTTTTCTTTTGTACTTGGTGTTGCCTCTGCCTGGAATGCCTTTCGTAACTTTGTTCCCATTAGAGCTGGGACTAGGGTAAAGAGTGGAGTGCCTCTGGTGCTGAATTTAAGGAGGTACTCACTCTTGAGACTGTCCAAATGCAATCCTGCACTTGGCACAGGCCTGCAAGTGGTGCCTCCTTAAATCAGGGCAGCTAGGCACCTCGTTTGTCTCACCCTAGTCCTGTTTTCCTTGGGCCATCTCAATTTTCTTGAAAGGTTTTCCCTGACCTCCCTCCTCAAAAAAGCAGGCCAGTGCCCTATCCAGGTGTGCTCTATCACACACCCCATTTCTTTCCTTTGTAACACCCATCACCATCTGCAAGTATTGGGTTTCTTTGCATATTTATTATCTGTCTCACCCTTAGGGTACAAACTCTGTGAGATTCAAGCTCATACATGTCTCACCTCTACCTCCTCCATCCCCAGCCAACAGCACAGCACTTGACTTAGAGTAATTAAACACTCAAAAAATAGTTGTTAGTGGAAGGAATGAAATGGAAATCAGCTAAGATATGGACCAAGTTCAGTTCAGTCTCACAGTCATGTCTGACTCTTTGCATGTCTTCAGCCATGCAACCTATGGACTACAGCACGCCAGGCTTCCCTGTCCATCACCAACTCCTGGAGCTTCCTCAAACTCATGTCCATAGAGTTAGTGATGCCATCCAACCATCTCATCCTCTGTCATCCACTTCTCCTCCCGCCTAAAGGTTGACCTTTCCCAGCGTCAGGGTCTTTCCTCATGACTCAGTTCTTCACATCATGTGGCCAAAGTATTGGAGCTTCAGCTTCAGCATCAGTCCTTCCAATGAATAGTCAGGGTTGATTTACTTTAAGATTGACTGGTTTGATCTCTTTCAGTCCAAGGGACTCTCAAGAGTCTTCTCCAACACCACAGTTCAGAAGCATCAATTCTTCAGCGCTCAGCTTTCTTTATGGTCCAATTCTCATGACCATACATGACTACTGGAAAAAACATAGCTTTGACTAGATGGACCTTTGTGGGCAAAGTGATGTCTCTGCTTTTTAATATGCTGCCTAGATTTGTTATAGCTTTTCTTCCAAGGAGCAAGTGTCTTTTAATTTCATGGGTGCAGTCACCATCTGCAGTGATTTTGGAGCCCAAAAAAATTAAGTCTCTCACTGTTTCCATTGTTTCCCCATCTATTTGCCATGATGCTTTGGGACTGATGCTATGATCTTAATTTTCTGAATGTTGAGTTTTAAACCAACTTTTTCACTTTCCTCTTTACTTTCATCAAGAGGCTCTTTAGTTCCTCTTCGCTTTCTGCCATAAGGGTAGTGTCATTTCCATATCTGAAGTTATTGATATTTCTCCTGGCAATCTTGATTCCAGCTTGTGCTTCATTCAGCCTGGCATATCCCATGATGTGCTCTGCATAGACGTTAAATAAACAGGGTGACAATATACAGCCCTGACATACTCCTTATACAACTTGGAACCAGTCCATTGTTCCATGTTCAGTTCTAACTATTGCTTCTTAACCTGCATACAGATTTCTCAGGAGGAAGGTAAGGTGGTCTGGTATTCCC